ACTCTTGTCTTCTCAGCAGGCACAGCTACTGAACCTCCAGAAAGGAAACTTGTCATCACCAAAATCCATAAGCACCTTTAATTATTTCAGTATCAGAAACAGATAGGTTTTTTTGTTAATGAAAATGGTACCAAAGAAGATACATTAACATCTGCCTTGCTATTGGGTCAAGAGACCACTGGGCCTTTCCATTTGATGTGCAGCTAAAATTTCTTATGTGCCTTGTCTATCTCTTCAGATACTATAGAAACACTCTTACTTTTCTTTTTGTACCTGCAAGTGTTAACCTAATGTTTTGTAGATAATAAACTTATTAACAAATTCATTCATTCAGTATAGGAGAGAACTCCAAGACTAATCTAAGAAGACTTTTTTTTTTTTTTTTGGCCAGTGGAGCATTTCACAACTAAACAAGGCAGGGAAGGTTTTTTATGTTCTCTTGTGAAATACTTAGGGTGCACCAGAGCTGCCCAATAAAATGGTATTCAATGACACAAGAGGTATTGACTGAAATATCTCATCCCTGTGTTCCCTGGTCCACACCCACTGGAAGCTTCTATCTCTTGATTGCTGTAAAAAGTCATGTTGGTCCATTAGTACCTTCCTTCAAAACATTAATGCATTTTAGCATGACTTTTTTCACTTTTCACTAAAATGAGACAAACTTTATCTCTTTTATCTCCCTTCCCTCTTCTGCCCACCTGGTATGGCTCCAAATAAAGTGGGTTGTTTTTTTTTTTAACTCTGAGGGAGTTGCTCTGAAACATCTACCTTAGGCAAACAGGATGTTACACCCACGCACATGGAAAGTTCCTATAAAACATTTGTGTTATACTCAATGTTTCTTTGGTTTGTGTGTCTTCAACTTAAATTTGTCTCTTTTTCTGTATAAACAGGAATGGTGTGTATGTGTGTGTGTGTGTGTGTGTGTGTGTGTGTGTATAAAATAAGAGATTTTCTTCCCTGTCCCATAGGTCAGCAAATGCAACACTTGAGGAAAGAGACTTGTAAAATTGTTTTCATTCGTCACACTTGGCATATCCTATTTATTAAACCAGTCAAATATCCACAAATTCCTCTTG